CAATGGCTCAAACTAAATTTAGTATAAATGTAGCAAAATTGCTACCTTGAATATAGCATATATTATATTCATATTAAGTAAAGTGTCCGTATCACCGTTGCCCAACGTTCAGTGACACATATTCAAATGGCCTGATGACATGTTTGTGTGTAAAAAAGTAATTAATTATAATAAGAGCAAGTAGGAACTTGCGCAAGCCACCCCCGGTAGGGCAGGCGCGGCGTGCGACCAAACCACGGCCTCGCGTCACCGTATATAACGCGGTACTCACGGGGCGGTACATCAGTACTACATATCACCTCAAAACAACCACAATGAAATCCTTCGTAAGTACTTAACCCTGGTTTCATAGTGAGAACATTCATAGTGATTCATTAGAAAAGCGTTTGTGCACCGTACCAACACAGTAACAAAGCACTACTCGAGTGTATTATTCTTCAAGTCTCAACATTTCTGGCATCATATTTGTTTTATTAAAGTTATGAAACAATAATTATATACAAGTGCAAGTTTAATAAAATAAAAACTACTAATTTGTTTTGAGAAAAATAATTGTTGTCTTAGATGTTACAGATTATTCTGTACGTGTTATCATCTTATATATTTCGTAGGTGTGTATCGTAATATTGGCGGCGAGCGCGCTCTGCGCACCTGAAGGAAAACGCGACAAACGCGGATACCTCCACGGATCTCACTACGACAGCCTGTCCCTGGATCACTCATTGGATCACTCGCTGAGCTACTCGCTGGACCACTCGCTTGCCCACTCGCTGGACCATTCGTTGGCCCACTCATTAGACCACTCGCTGTCGTACGCCAGTGGCTATGACTCCCTATACGACCACCACCACGCTCACGTGATCGCGCCCGCCGCCAAAATCATCTCAGTCAACAAATTGATTGAAGTTCCAAAGGTAACATTTTAATACCTACAACAATATTTTGAACGACCCTCCCAAGTTTTCTGAACCAATTGAAGGATTTCTTTCGTAATTTACGTCAAGCGAATTGTTGAGTAGTTTCATGATAACATCATAAAAACCACTCAAAAGTTCGCTTGAAGTGCTGAGCTCTATTCCCGAACGAAATTATGTAAACAATAGACCTATTATACATTACAAATTTATTTAAGAAAAATAGAAGAAAACCCCAATATGGCACGTAAAGATACGTGGCATATATTTTTCATTATTCAAGAATTGTTTCGATTATTTAAATTCATAAACGCAATTAACAATCAATAATCTTATTCCACAAATGTGAGAATCAAATCAAAGGAACGGTGAAGTCTGCGATATATTAAATTAATACATACATTCAACAATCACTGCACGATGATGCGGCGTAGTCACTTGAGCAAATATAACATTTAATAATCCCCACTCTTGTACGGGAACAAATACAGCGGTAGGTTTAACAATGTCTTATTGAACTATTTTGCAATTCCGACCGTCAGCTCTAGTATGAATCAAGCATTTGTTTAAAAGTGAACCTCATTCTTATCAAATACTTTTGTAATTCCAAAAAGCTTTTATTAAACTTTGTTGATAAACAATAAACTTAGTAGCTATTATTTTTTAAATAAATTATTCATTTATCTTGAGGAATCGAAACATATAATATGTATACAGATAATTTATTACAAAACAAATAATATTCGCGTTCAATATTTTGCAGAGTCATCGAATTAAAAAAGTCAAAAGTAGAACATACAATATTTTTTGGCATTGCAAGGTTTAAAAAATGAAAATACTAAACGTAATATGATATTATTGTATCAGGTAGTGGAAGTGAAGAAAGTAGTGTCGGTGCCGAAGGTGGTGTCGGTGCCGCAGGTGGTGAAGGTGTCCAAGGTGGTGGAGGCGCCGCACTACCCGTACGCGTCCCTCGCCGCTGGTTGGTGGTGAACACTCTCTACCAAATATGTACATAATATACACTAGTGCGATAACATGTACATGCTCATTATTCACTTAACCAACTATTACCCGACTACCTCCACTCATAAAAACATATCATAATAACGCTTTGTTGTGGTGTAAAAGAAAGACAAACCAACTTTCCTATTTATAATATTAGTATGGATGCAGTATGTTACATCGTATACGTTACTTTAAAACAAAAGACATCAACGCGCTCGCACGACTTGTTTGCGTAATTAAGTTAAAAAAACCATCTAATTGCAAGTCGGATTCGCGCACGGAGGGTTCCGTACAAACCTGTAGGTATATTGTAGTGTAACTAAAAATTTAAGGTATTCGGAATTTTTCCTTTACATGTGCTATAAAATATTGCTTTATACCAAATTTCAAGATTGTAGCTGGAGTGGAAGTTTTAATTCCCTTGCGAGTAGATGCGAGTTTGGAGGATGAAGTTACTCTCGTCCGCAGAATTTTCCCTCCCGTACCTTGCACTTATCCCCGGATGGCGCTAAACGAGTAACAAACTTTCCATCCCATCTCGGGGTGGCAGGGACCAAGTGGATTTTTAAAGCATTTTGTATTAAGAATATTTTTCAGTATAGCATCGTGAATGCGAAATTGATCAAATATAACCTATAAGGACTCCGTTTTTTCCTTTCGAGGTACGGAACCCTAACTACGAAATCTTTCTGGACGATGAATCCTTCTCTATCAGTTATTCTGAACAAGATTCAAATAATAATCTTGTTTGATCAGCTGTTGGTTTTCCAAGACAAATAAATAAAGAATATCATTAGAATACAATTTTTGAACCCACAGGAATGATATTAAGAAAATTCACAATAAGTTAAATAATTAATTATTTGAAATTAAATACATATTTTGTAAAGAGTTAGTTAATGTCGTAAATCTATTAACCTATGAACCAACATAAGTCATATTTCACTAACGATGCGATGATCTATTTCATCCCCTCACGATGTTATCAGCTTTGGAACAAATAAAAGAAGTGCACCACCGCATATTACTTATGATACCTATGATACCTTTACAAAATTAATTTCACAGCAAGTGATGATATAGATTTCGCATTTGATATTTTCTGATGTTTCTTTAGCAATAGTACTGTGGTCGAAATACTTAAATAGGTAAATTATCTGTATTCCGTTAACGAGAAACACTAATATCGTCATAGCACCCAGCGTTGAATGAGTTAAGTACAGCAATCATTCACAGTGTGATTATGTTTCGAAACATCAAACAGCGGCGGCATCTGTGATGAGTGCACGCACATCGGTATGCATACTATAAATTGTAAATAGTGTTGTGTATAAATGCCTTAATAATAACTTTCTGCACGCTCTACAGCAAGCAGTCTATGAGCTTCTTGGTAGAAGAAAAGATATAAAGATGGCGTGCTGTGTGTACTAGCAGCAGCATAATAAAATCATATTTTTTATTTAATGTTCAAAACCTGTTAGTTAACGGAATCTACAGATTCTCCACCAATAGAAATAGCATATGGTAATGATCCAGGTTTCCATAATACAAGTACTTTAGATACTTAACTTGGGATCTGAGTAATGTCTGATAATTATAATTTATTTAAAAAAATAACCACCTATTGCTGGCGTCAGTCAAGACACGTACGATACTTAACCGTGAACTCATGTCGCCGATTACACAATGTCTTACAACACATAGACGCAATTTCTATTAAAACAGTATTATCATCAACATTAAATAAATAAAAAAGAATTTTAATCATATGTTGATGCTCTTGCTCTCTCAGTCTTTAAATCTTAGTATTTGACCACAGATGAAGCTTTTAATGTACCTACAGATAATTCTTTAAAAAGGAATTAGATCCGAGATGGCATTCAATTTAATTGAATTGGTTAGAGCATTCACCCGGATTATGAGAGTTTATGGGGTTCTAATTATACATATAAGAATAATTTATTTCATTAAAGCAGTCTATGAATTTTTAAAAGCACTTAGATTATAAGGGAAATTATATGCAAATACTAACAGATATCACGTATACGCAACTATGAGGGGACATTGAAATTCTTAATAACGTTTTGCAATCGTCAATTGATTTTAAGATTAACACTTTACATATAGATCTGACACTTTTTGAGTAATCGTACCATAATCACACAGTTCACGCTCAGAGCATGAGATGACAAGAAAAAAAGGTTTTCTTCATTTATGTGCTTCACAATTTTATCTATGATATTCCTTACTATATTGCCACTTGAATACACCAACACTAGTTTATATTTGTTCAACAGAATAAATTAATTTAAATGGAAGTAATGATACAACCCTTCCGCATAAACTAATAATAACAACGGCTACTGACGGCAACACTGACGATACAAGCGCACGAATGTGGCATTAGTTTAAATATTAATAAATTACTTCCAATCAATGCATGAGGTGACAATTATTTAAGTAATAAATGCCGTCGCCTATTATGTCTCGACACGTACAACATGAAGTTTAACAGCAAGCTAATACTTAATTTGGAACTATTGAAAGATCTATAGGACATACTCGTCTAAAATAGAAATCGGTTATTTAGTCAAAGGAGAAAACAATCCAACTGTTGCTATAATTTCAGGATTTGAAGTTAGCTGACCCAAAATTCAACATACCCGGGAAAATTAACCTTTTATTTGGTGTAGAGGCATGTACTCTAATATAATTGGTGGGTCGCATTAAAGGTTCAGCCGAGTCACCTATCGCTCAAAATACCAACTTAGACTGGATCTTATCTGGTAAGATTCTAACAGAAAATTTAAATCATAAGTTATTTAGTACGAAAAAGACGAACTTCTCATAAAAATCTGGGAAATAGGACTCTGGGGAATCTGACTCTTCTTTCAACACAAAACGGGAAGGATTATGAAGAAATGTATGCAAACACAACCTAAGAGAGATTCTCAAAGGCGTTATATTGTCAAACTTCCTTTTCGTTCAAATGAACGAAGCTGTAAACGAGATAATTCAATTTTAATTGCTAATGAAAGGTTCAAAATGTTAGAAAGAAAGTATTTCATAAACGAGCATTTGAAAAAGCAATACCTCTAGTGATGTAATAAATGAATATTTAGAATTGGGACTTATGGAATACGCGCCTCAAAACTAAGTTTTTAATTCTCATGCAGTATATCTTCCTCAGCACGCTGTTGTCAAGGAGGAAGGGAGCACTACTAAGGTGGGAGTAGTTTTCTATGCATCCCATTTGCTTTTTTATGTTTTTTTTTTTTCAACTATCTGTTTAAATAATTATTTTTATATGATACATGTCCTACTAGTTTAAGTAGGTATTTATAGAATAAAACCAATAAAATACGCTTCCAACGCTATGATAATATAGTTATTGGAAGTTGTTAATTATAGACGTCACATGGTCATGGTCTCGTGGGCTCAGTTGCGTGCGCCCGAGTCGTCCACTTTGTGCTTGTTTCCGTGCTCCGTCCAACCAGCACCGGCACCGACACCGCGCCGACCGCACACCGATCACTTCTGGTCCCTCACAAATTATTTGAACAAACGGCTGATTAAAGTGTTGTGAGGAAAAATAGTATATGCTCTAATTGTAAATATCGGTAATAAATAAATCCAAATCTACAAATTAATGGAGGCTATCTTTAAAATGAAATCAAATTTTACAAATACTGAAATACTTTATTGACTCTAGGACATACATTTACTTTATAAATGCAGTAAGACATTTAAGAACGTAACTAAGAGCTAAGCTAAACATAACGATGACTAAAGGGAAGCTTATTTAACATATCAATCTACTGGCCGCTCACCGGTCTCTAATGATTTTATATTTTTGAACTCTGATGATGACAGGCTCGGGCTCGGGGCGCGTCACTCTCTTCTTTGTCGGTCGGCGTCTGTAGGAGTAGCCTCCCTGAGGGTTAGGACGCGCGTACAAGACCTCCACAACAGGTTCATCGGGCTCACTGTAATTGTCCTGTACGACGTCGTTTACAGACGCAGCGTACATATAAGGGCCTGGTTGGTTATAAGGTAATGCGTACGTGGGCATCGCACCACTTGCAGCGGTTTGTCTGTCTGTCATTTCTGGTCTCAATGGTACTCTGGACATGATGTGCAGCAGCGGGATGGGTGAGTGCATCGAGAGTGCAGCGTACGCGATAGGTTTGTAGCCGCGCGGATAATGACGCGCATACACGCCGCCGTGCATATCGCTGCGCCACTGTACCGCCTCGGGCAGAGGCTCGCCGCGCGCGCACGCGCATACCGCCAGCATCAGTAATGGCATCTGGAATGACATACACCCGATTTCTGTTTTGAGAATTTAAAGTTAAGAATTTCTCGAACCGTGCTTAAACGTCGCTTAAATAGGTCCTCACTTCTGATTTTAGTTTTTTTAATGATCAGTTAATAGCAGCTTGATAAAATTAGATAGTTTTACCTTTTGAAACGTCATAAACTTAAGTTATGGAGAATAATCAGTTGAGATTTTGCACTTGTCACAATTCAGAAACCGGCCGATAGTATGATAGAACCTTCTTAGAAGAAGCAATTATTAAAATTTCCGAATAAATAATTTAACTTATGTACTAATAGATTCTGAAACGTTTACTACATACTTTAGGAAAACATTAGTACGCATTAGTATTTTAATTTATTAATGGACTTCAAAAAAAGGAAGTACTCAGTTTGTGTGTATGTATGTTTGTGCGCGATTATCTTGCGTTTGGCTAAACCGATTTTGATGCGGTTTTTAGTATAGTATTTGTCAGACTTAGGAGAAGGTTTTAGGTATATTAATCAACTAAAAAAATGGAGGGTCGCGCTTTAACACACTTTTTACGCGGTTTTCAGAAAAGTATTTTTAGTGTTACCTATTATAAAAAAAAACAATATTACTAAAAAGCAAGAAACAAAACTTTTTCAAAAAAGAACCTTCTTCAAACTTCTCGGCAAACGGGTATCTATCATTAAATTAATAACCTACAGAAAACCTCCACCCAAGTTTAATAGCATTTTCTTGAATAAGTTCCTTTGATATTATTATTCACTTTTTTTTAAATTTGAAGTCGGTTCTATTTTTTTTTGGGCCCCAATACTAAATTGTGCACGCAACTATTTATAAAATGATATAAAATGTCGTCCAAACTAGTCCTTACTACTAAGACTCCGCTGTTCGTCTGTCTGTTATGAACCGTAACAACTAGACAGTTGAAATTTTCACAGATATAGTGAAAATTTCTGTTGCCTTTTTTGCATTTTTTATTGATGGTAGGGAACCGTTCTTTCGCAAGTCAGACTTTTACTTGCCTGGTTTATTACCTTCTTTCATTAGTTAAAGAATACAAAGCCCGTTTAGGTAAAGGTGTACACCACAACTAATGTATAAAATATTACGAAAATACCTATATTTAAAGCAATTATAGTCATATAATAACTACACTGTAACAATTTGATGATGTTACCGGTTATAATTTTAACTATTTAATATTTATTTCGAGTATTAATATATATGTGGTACTCACATATGAGTCCATGTCGCGGTCTGTCCGGCGGGTGGTGTGTGCGGTACTGCGACCTGCGCCTGCGCACCTCCCCCATGCTGTATTTCAGTTTCAGCGACCGTTCGGGGATACGATATCTATAGAGCTGTTGACAACTTTTCCTAAAACTCTAACAGTATTTACGATTTTACTTTCCCAGGCATGTGAAACATTACACAAGGGCTATTTAACATTCTGTTTATAAAAAAGAAAAATTGTATGTCTGCTTCCTGTCCACAGAAAAAAAATCTCGACAGATTAAGAAGTAACATAACGGACACATAACTTGTATAAAGTATATTTTAACTACTCATAGCGTCGTTAATCTTATCTTACCTTATCTATCGTAATTTGACGACTGTTTTAAGTCTCTACTATAAGAGTCGTTAAGTATATTGTTATTTGTTAGGCACATACCGAGTGCAAACTCTAGCGATCGAGTTTGACAGATTGGCGAATGAACTTAGCGATCGTTACTTCTCGACAAATAAGCAGTACAATGACAGAGGAACGGACGAACCAACGTGGGTGATCCACGAACCTAAAATGAAATATTTTATTAAAGTAAACCGCTCTAGGTGCATCTAGTCGGCAGTGGCATAGTAATCAGCTTGGTGACAACAACGCCGACACGTTTCCTTCCGCGTCCAGTGGCACACTACCACACAAAACGCGATCAAAACAAAAACATAGGAAATGTGTTTACGTTAACAATTTTCATCAACAAAAATTAACTACAAACTGAAATAAGGTTACCTATATCTTGAAACGAAAACAATTAGCACTTTTTGATTACTTGTGAATATGATGAGTGAGTGACGAAATTACCAATTCGACGCATATTGCGAGGATACTTGTGTCGCAAGCGCATATCTAAACTATGAAATAGGAGTGGAGATTATGCTCACAAGAAACCTAGTTTGGACACAAGTGCGTATAATTAAATTAACTTTAACTTGTTGTGAGATTCTTGTTAGCTGCTTTGTTTCGATTATTACCTACATGGTGAACAATGTTGGTGTAAATAAAATATTATATCTCATCTGTTTAACTTTGTAATATTAATGTAAATCGTATCACTGTTTGTTTACCCTAAAAAGAAATAAATAAAATATTATCAATAGATAAGCATTATTAATAATTAAGTCGCTGTAACTACTCGTTTAAAAGTGCTTGCTCGCAGTAGGACTCCAAGTATGTTAAAATTTGTTTTTTTTTAATATTAAATTTTCATATTTGTTTGGGATGAGTGAAGAAATAAGATGAGACGTCATAGAATGAATACGGAACAACCCATTGAACGCACTGTGTGACACTTGATAATTTGAATGTCGAATTTTCAACTGAATGGTTTTTATTAGTTCAAAATATTCTTTGAAAATCAAATCGGTTTATACAAATATTAAAAACGGATCTTACTTATTCACGAAAAATAAAGGAACTCAACGCTAATCAATTTTATCATATGTAATATCATACTATAAACTCAATCAGTGATTGAATTAAATTATCGGTGCATTTTTTAAGCAAGGAAGTAGTCATTAGTATTGAATGCCTGAGCAATGAACATATTTCACATTAAACAGTACAAAGCATGCAAACGAATACACGCGCGTACCGATTTACGCTAAATAGGTATTTTGTTGTTCCTCAACGGAAGTTGAAATGTGTCAAACATTTTACATTTTAATGAGGAAGTATTATAACAAAAAAAAGCACCTCCACTAGATGGTGACTCTTGCAAAAGTTGATTTTTGCAGGAAAAGAATGGACCAAAGAAAGTCATTTCCGTTCCTTTAACTAACATATTAAATATCTGTAATTTGCAAAGTTCGAAACTTAGACATCAATACAAATACGAAAAAGAACAAATAGAATATGAGTTGTTTATTGAGTTTTGAAAACTAATTTACTTTTATACATGAAAGAAAACCGGAAGGGTTGTCATGGAGAAATCATGAAAGTACCGTAGCGACATCTAGTTTAATTTCGGGAACTAATGTTTTGTTTAAATATTCCTCATTGCACTTTAATGGTCCCTCAGGTTTTATTTATTATTATTATTGTAACTCAGGCAGACAGTTGATGATGAAACAACTAAATAATTTTGTATCGCCTATATGTATAGACTTTAAAGTTAAAGCGAAGTATGAAACTGATGTTAATTTTTTACTAGAGAATCCAAGTTTTCGGATTATAATCAAAGTTTTATCCTAAGGTTCCACTTCAAGTTGGTTTCTATGTTTATTTATAAGGCAAATTAGTATTCTCATCAGCCTCATCGGAGGCCCATTTATAAATTGTGACTAAAGACATCGAGTTATTACTTGGTGAGCTAACTTAATTTAAACATGGTGAGAATGTTGTGATCCGGTATTTTATTTTGATCACTGATCGGAAACACTGATATGGTCCATTATGGTAATAAATTTAAATATTTTTTATTTACTATTAGACATCAAAATAATATTAAGTGCATGTAATCAAATTACACGTCTTAGTATAAATAATATAAGTTTTATTTTTCAAAACTTCTGAGTTCGATTCCCGAACTTGACAAACAGGGGAGAGAGGGGAGGGTTAAGAAAATGAAGTTTGTGTGACGTAATTTATGGCCGGCCCCCAAGGGACTCTTATTTTCTACAATGTAGTTTGGCATTTGTAAAAGAGTAAACCAGAACCTCAATATATGTAAATGTCCAAGCAAAAATTAAAGATAGTTTCCTTTTATTATTAGATTATCTGGGCATTTCGCACAATTCTGCCAAAGTCAAATGTATAAATTAATTTCTATTCATGTATAATACAAATTAAATGAATGAAAGACTGCGACCCAAAAAACTTAAAGAGAGTCATTATAATGCTTCCAACATATTATCGTCGATCCCGGCCTGTTGCCAAGCCCGGGCCTTCGATGAGGATACTCCGTCCTTCATCAACAAAATTTTTGGAGTTGATTTAATTCTATTCAAATCGATTTATTTTGTTTTTGTGTAACGACAGTTTGTCACATTGAAGATACACCATCACGTCATTGTTCGCTAGCTATTTGTACCTATATAGATTATTTAATAATTTATTTCTTTGGGAAATATAGGTAGATATACCGATCAGGCGAAAGAATCAATTTAATTCAAATTTCCCAACTTTTTTTTAAATAAAGACTTGTTCCGTTATACACGGAAATTTTTCCAATATCCCATATTGTTTCACAACTTTGTAATACAATGCAACTGCTTCACTGTCAACATGACATTCAATAGATTTCTTTGAAAATTGTGGCCCTATTAAATGACAGTTGCGCCCTTGTTTATTTTCCACTGTCTGTTTCGCACTATACCTACTCTAAGTACGCAAAATATGAAATAAGAAGATTTTGGCAAATCGGGCAGATTCAACATTTTTGAAACGGTCACCCTGCTAGTTCCCTTTGCCTTAATTAGACGAATTTAATACCAAAACAAACATTAAACATTAAGTTGTGATTATTAATTATTTAATTTAATTACAGTCAAAGATTAATATCATCTTAGTAATCATAAAACATTATCATGCCTCGGGTAAAAATCGATTATATCGTGAGTTTTAGCAGCGAAGATTCCGTAAGTATAACCTCATAAACTCATTGGGATAATTTAGTGATATTTTGAAATAAGTTAGTGATGTGATGCATGGAAATATTGTTGAAATGAATAGAAAGTGTAATATATTAAAAAATTACTTTACTGATGTATTCAATTCTGATTCATCATAATTGTGTATAAACAATGTCGAATGATACAGGAAAACCCGGCAAGTAACTTATTAAGTTGGGAAGTCAGCAAGAAACGTTGGTTGTGTGCCAAGGGTGAGCCTTCATGCTCCGTAGTTCTGCAGCTCACAAAAGCAGTGAAGGTACGTTCATTTCATTGCCTTAGCATGGCTCTTTAGTCCTTGAGATAGTTTTAATTAAAATTAATTTATGCATAGAGTTAACAAGTGCAACTAATATTAAGTAGGTCACTCTGAGCGGAAAGAGGTGGTGAAATGACATTTATTCAAAACTTCGCAAATTAACGACATACTGGTTTGTGAAGTATTTAGTATTCATACAAAAATTAAGCATATCTCGCTTCCTTTAGTGGGTTCCATTCGCATTGATTTATGTTTACCTTAAATGTCATAACATTATTTCTGTTAAATATGAAGCAAATGTTGATTCAGATTTATTCCAATCTAAAAAGAACAAATCATGTCAGAACTACTGCGTACATTCATTATAAACCTCTTTGATGTGCATAGTCACTAGTGATGTATTGTTTTAAAATAGCGCATTTAAAAATTTACAATTGGGGTTTATAATTATATATTATGACAATACCTACATTATGGCAATACCTGCGCCGACCCCAAATAAAATTGGGATAAGGGCAGGGGAATGATGATGACAATACCTACATAATTTTCTAATTTATATTGCATTTACATTTTTATACTATAATTTTTTCAGATTTCAGCTATACATATAGGAGCTCATAATGCTGCTTTTGTGGAGGTACTTGTAGGAAGATCAGAAAAACCAAATGAACCATTCCAGGTAATTAATAGTGTAATGGTGTTTATCAAAAATATTTTAGACAATGAATTAGAGCTTAAGTTTACTAAATATTCTACAGCCTTGTTGGTAATATGTTAGCCATCAATCTCTGCTAATGCACACTTAGGAAAGTTGTATCAATGTGAATCTTCTCACTTCATCATATAAATAGACATGCCTACATCGTTTACTTGCCTACGTAAAATACAAAACAAAATAAATTTTTTGTCTTATAATTTCCTTCTAAATTTTAATTCCTATCCAATTCTTTGGTAATATGAATAATTTGAATGAACACAATGTTGACTTTAATAACGATTTTTTATTAATAATTCATTTTAAATACATATTTACTTAGCCATCCCAAAAAGCCTGTTAACTTGCTAATTTAGCTACATAAGATCTCAATGTGATTGTCTCATTTCTCAAGTCTCCCATCAAACGACAGAGTATAATGCATTCCTGTTACTACACACAAAAAAAAATCTTATATATAGGTGCTATTGCCGAGCAGCGTGTTTCTGTCTCCAAGTGAGTCTCGTCGGGCAGAGGGCGTGGAGCGGGTCCGTTCGTTCAGTGAGCCGCTGCTGACCGGCGCCGGTGGGGCACAGCGCTGGGACCGCGTGCGGCTCGTGTGCTCGCAGCCCTACAACAAACACTGCAAGGTGTGCTCCACTAGACTATGCCGTCACATTCATACTGATTACAATATTTTGCTTAATGTAGTATAGTATAGTATTGAAAGTATGATTGGTGCATCTTGTAACAAATGATTTATTTTTTAATCAATAATATCTTTTATTATTAATTTATTTCATCACAAACTATGCAATTCCTGAACTCTAGTTCGTTCTCGTTAGCTCGTGATTTACAGCTGTTTAAAATTCTCAATCGATAAAAGGCATTGTTTCGCAGTACGGATTAAGCTTCGTGCAGATATATGAGCCGGAGTCGTTAGAGCTGGCGATGGCTCCGTCGCCGGGCGGCAGCAGCGAGGACGAGTTCAAGCCCGGGGAACTGTTCGCCGCGCACCGGAACAACTCGCAACAATCCAACTCTGACACAGGTTGCCACCATTCACCACATTGACATTATCATTCATTATCAGCATACTTGTACGAGCTGCTGCCGCACAATCTTTAGTTTTGATAAGAAATGATACGGAGAGTTCAATTGATAGAAATTATTTATTGATTTTTGACTTTTTATGCTAAATGATAAAATGATTTGATATGAGTACACACCGTGACGATCGAATGAATACTAAAAATGATGACATGAAAATGTAATACAATGGAGTAAAATGCTGAATTGCTTTTAACATACTATTGTACGGTTGTGAACCGTACAATACTAATTTTTTGATTCGTGAACCGAGCCTGTACATTTTACCCAATCAAAACATAAGTGTCTTTGAAAGTTATTTAAGATCAAATCAACAACAACTCCATTCCTCTCTCGCTCCTTACATTATCATAATATGATCTACATTATCCATAGTAAATTAGAAGTTGGAGACTGCAATCTATCGAGTCAGGAGCAACTATCGTGAACGTTCGATAGAAAATAATCACTGTTATATAATTTCACATTATATTCTCTTATATTATAATATTACCAGGATCACAAATAAGGCAAGCTACATCTCAAGCACTCAAGAATATATCGGATTCTGCTACAAAGTTGGTTAAGACTCCCATCACTAAAAAGACTCGCAGCGAACCCACGAGCACCGACTACGACGTGAACAGAAAGAGAGACGGCCTAATGTACACGTCGGATGACGACAAACCGCACGCTAAAATAGATCATGTTGTTAAAAGGCACAAGGACGATAAAAGCAAACAAGAGCCCGCTACTAGTCAAAAAGTTAAAACTGACGATAGAAGGAAAACTACTTCTAATCAAAAAGATGACGCGTCAGATGCTACCTCCACATTCAGTGATAAACAAAATAAGAGAACTCATGATGAAATGGTCCGTACTAAAGATAAACATGGCAGCGGAAATAAAAATGACAGCTTAAATGAAGGAATTAAAAAGGAATCAAAACTTGATGAAGGACCCAGAAGCAGCAGAGACAAACATAAAGAAAAGACAGTAGAGAGTAGAGATGATTCCTACAGTAAAGAAGTTAAGAGGAGATCAGAAACAAATAGTCGCAACGAGACACAAGGGAGAGGCGACGAGGACCCGTCCACGAGTAAGGACGTCGACGTGGAGCCGAGGAAACGATCGCGGGCTAAACCTGAGAGAGGTCGGTATACTTTTTTAATTATTTTATTTAACACAATAATGAGTATTTCATTTATTTCGTTATATATAGACCTAGGTACCCGCGGACGATGTAGCTTTCTGTTAACAGATCAATATTTCTGAAGATTATCTCGCTACAAACAAACTTAGTTATATACTTGTTCCTTCTTAATAATTCTTATTCTTATTTTTATTTTTCATTTTAACAAATTTATTTTATTAGGTATACACAAAAATACTTCGGTGCACAGTTTGATGTAATTTTGAACTTATGCTAATATTAAAATAGTGCCATTTTCATACAAACTACCTATCCTCTAGATTTTGATGTGTTCTGTGCGACCGTACCTAAATCGAACATCCTTTCGTAAACATAAACGAAGCGTTAAAACTGAGATAGAGGAGAATCATTCGGCATTTTCAGTGTCGTATTCGGACGCAGGGCGATCGGCCGTGTTATTTTTATCACAGATGGACGTGCCTAATCGCAAACATTCACTCGGCCCGAGCATCACATTTTAGTTAAAATAATAATATGTACGTCATCGTCGACCAATCAGTCGCCTATTCGACTAGTCGGCAAGTATCACACCGTAGTGAGGGGTGTAACGACGGTTGCAGAGCTGGGCGCGGTGCTGCGCGGCGTCGTGCTGACGTTCAGCGGGTACGTGAACCCCGAGCGGGCCCATCTCCGCCACCTCGCCACCAGCATGGGGGCCACCGTCACCCGCGACTGGGAGCCCGCCTGCAATCTGCTCGTGTGAGTGCCGCATAGAAACAACTGGCATCTTAATATAATTGAATAACGCTAAGTGCTCGGTACGGGACGGCCAGGTGTGCGTTCCCCAACACTCCGAAGTTGAAGCGAGTCCGCAGCGAGTGCGGTGCCAGCGTTCCCGCGGTAACCGCGCATTGGCTGAAGGAGGCGCACGCGCGCCGCCGCCGCCCGCCGTGGAGGCGCCACGCCACCGAGCCGCAGCTGCGCGGGGAGTGCGACAGCGGCGACAGCGGCAGCGGCGGCGACACGGAACCGTCTGAAGGTACACTGTACAGATACTTTTAAAACACCGAACAATTTTATTCCTACGATTTTCTGTCGTTGTTATACGGATGTAGTCTGTGAACGACGATAAAGGTATACTAATTAGTAGTGTTATAACCGGTGGGCAGGTTAGGTAGTGCTATTTCACGGGATTCGATGATGCTAGATTAACGTGGATGTACCCTCGCATCTCAGAGTCCCGGGAATTATAAAATTACTTTCAATCTTACTTACTGTTTAATCTGTTTTTTATGATAAAATTGTTGTGAAAAAAATGAACTGGACTGAATATCAAATTGCAAGAAACATTAGTTTTTGTTCAGGTAAATAAATTTCATTTGTATTTTTATATCATACATATCTCTATAAATAGTTTTTATCGAGATAAACAAAATATTTCCCATTTTAAAGTGAAATACATTAACGATCGAACGTCGTATTTTATTCGCTTTTATCTCTTTATGAACCTTCAAATAGGGCAAACCCCCAGTTTCAATTTATCAAATCGTACACAGAATGCGACACGGACGACGAAATAGAGAAAGTGCTTCGAGCGCAGAAGAAACCGCGCGTGGACACGCCCCCACCCACACACGCGCGCAACACCACGCCCCCACCCGCACACACGCACGACGACGACGACGGAGGCGACACCGACCGGGACACAGGTAGGGGAGTCGGGAACATTTTAATATCTCCATCAGAACCTTGAGACAAAAATATACACTGACTTCAAAAAAAATCCAAAAGCTACGTAGACGGTTTTACGGTTTTTATTTGAAAGTTATAGTTCGATATGTTTTAATCTGTCGATGTTAAAATAATATATGTGGACGACGTCCTCGTGACAATCCGTCGGTCCGTATCGCTCCAGTAGAGGCGGAGCGCGTGGAGCGCATAGCCCCGCAGCGCTGGCTGCCCGCCATATTCGAGGCGCGCACGTTCCTGCTGCGCGCGCGCTCGCCGCGCCGCCGCCAGACATGCGCGCGCTACGTGCGGGCGTACGGGGGGACGCTGCTGCAGGTACTGCGATTTCTAAGCTGCTTTCAACATTTCTACTTAGTAACATTGCTACTTCGGGCCGATGTTGCCAGCGTCATATCGCGTTCCTTAATTTCTAGTTGAGACTCGGTTCTCAATACTCGAACTAACGATAAATATTATAAGTACAGTGAGGACTACCCTCATCGGAGGGCCGGGACGGAATTAGGCCCGGATCTACGACTTTGATCCCACCGGGGCAGAAATTTGATACTGCGTTAACACCACAGAGTGCCTACATTATTAACTTTACTGTATTATTATAGTTTTGGCGGATAACTGCAGCTATTTCGAGGCCCCCCAGGACCGGAGGTGGACCGTCCCCGGCTTAGTCCGCCCCTGTGCGAGTCCTAGATTTATATTTAATACATGTGTTTTTATAAAATCATAGTTTTTATCGATTACCCACACTTTAAAAGAGAATCTGAGGATATTTTTTTTTTTACATCGAGCTCATTTAAGCGGTCGACCGCCTCCGTAAAAGTTTGCGGATTTATACCTGAATAGAATATGATCTCTGACCCTATTACTTGTAAAATATTGCATATACAAATGACCTCTGGTTTCATTGACAGTGTGTGCTTAATTTACCCGACACCGAGTTATTTTACTTGGGCAAACGAACTGTAAATGAGTGACATCTTCGACATTTTGAAGTACAGTGTGTTTGTGTCAACATTCAGGAAGAGGAGTTGGACGAGGACAGTGTGGTGGACTTCGTGATAAGCGACGAGGGGGAGGGGCCCGCGGCCGGGGCGAGGGGGGTGAGGGGAGCCGAGTACAGGACGCCCGCGTGGCTGTGGACCTGCCATCGACTGCGGCGACTCGTCACTACACACTGACAAACAAAATTGTTAAATTTGCTTTTTCGATTTAGACTTTAATCGTGGTCGATTACATTTATATATAAGCACACAATCGCCTTAGGCTATTTACTCATGGCGCGATGCAATTCGAACGATTTATTGGAGATCCGTTCTTCTAAATTTATAGTGTGTTTGTTAACGGTTTCGCGTGCAAGTGTACAATTGGTTAGCTCGCTTGATCTGCGATTGTGGAGATTAAGCGGCGTTCGCAAAGACTTGTAATCAGATCGGTAATCTTTTTTCTATTTGACTGAGCGGCATGGAGCGAGACAGGCATTTACGGAGATTAAACGACGTCCCCAAAGGTCAGTAATGGGACGGATAAAACTGGGCCCGCGTGAAGATCCCCGATGAGAATCGGTGGTGGTTATAAATCAAGGATATTCTTGAATGAATGAAACAAATCTACCCAAAATTCCGTATTGCGCCCGTGTAGACGTCCTAAATCGTTCCTTTGCGACCGTCGCTTAACCTCCGCAATCGCAGATCAAACGCGCTAAAACCACACCATCGAACTTTTCACTTGTTTACACTATAGCAGAGATATTGACATATTTTTTCGTCAAATTTAATATATTTTGATGATATAGTAAGGTTGCGCGACTAAATCACTCCTCGATTTAACTGAACAAAATATCGAAAACAGATCGAGCGTTCGACCGCCCTCATACATTTGACGTGATATCGCAGACCACGAGTATGTAGACGCAATTCGATGTCGAGATTTGTGACCGAGTATGTGTATTGTATACATGAGTAAGTGCTTGCGATTCTCCACATTATAAAGGCGTGCGACTCGTGCGATATCGCTTATCGATAGCGAATTGCATCGCACCAAGCTTTGAGTAAAGTCTTAAAGAAGCCATGAATGGCATCTCGATTCATAATGTTTATTTTTACAATCAATTGTTAAAATATATTGTTTTGAATAAAATAAAAAACGAACATTTTCAAAATATTTTATTTCGAAAAATAATGATGGAAGGAGCCCCGAGTCTGATCGGTTCGTGACTCTCGCGAATGATGTGAACGAATTTTTCCGACGATATCAATTCGTAAACTGGAGTTATATCGGGCGCGGTCACTGGGAGGTGAGCAGCGTCAGTTTCTCGTTCAGCTGCAGCTGGGTCTTGATGAGTTGCGCGAGAGTGACCACCTGCGATTAATCGGTTATGTAATTATAGATACTTCGTTGTATTTTTTTATCAACAAACAAATAATGGAATATTCTCGTTCGAGAAGCTTCAGGGGGCGCACCACAAAAAGGCGATATCAAATTTAAATCGAACATGTAAATTTTTTTCATAAATAAATTTAGCAGCCTATATGCAAAATTTAGAAATTAATTTAGTCCTGTTTGATTTGAACTTGCTAAATAGTACACGGATACAAATACAAAGGACTCACCATGAGCAGGTCCTTGACGCTGGAGGCGAAGGCGTCGGCGAAGCTGTCGGCGGCCAGCGCGGGCAGGGCCGTCACCAGGTCCAGCAGCTGCCGGCCCGCGGGCCCGCTGCCCGCCGCGCGCCCCGCCACCACCTCCTCCACGTACGCCACCATCTGGCCGCACGGCAATCAGGAAGTGTTTCAATATCAACGAAACCACCTCCACTAGATGGCGACTCTAGCAAAACTTGATTTTCGCAGGAAACGAACGGATCAAAGACGGTCATTTCTGTTCGTTTTAACTAACATATTAAAAAAATTAAATTTGAAAGTTCAAAACTTAGATATCGATACAAATACGAAAAAGTACAAATAAAACATGCGTTGTTTATTGAGTTTTGAAAACTAATTTACTTTTATACACGAAAGAAAACCGGAAAGGATGTCATGGAAAAATCGAAAACGCACCGTAACAACATCCAGTTTGATTTCGGGAACTAATGTTTTTTTTAAATACTTCCTTGTTCAATTAGTCTTTAACTTGATATTTTACAATAGAAGTCGAACGTCTTCGTTTTAGTAATGATTCTTCTAGATTCGATAAACGTAAGGAACACTAACTCGTATGGAAAGTGATTGTAAATATGGTGATGAAAATGAGAGTCATTAAATCAGTAAGGAACTTCAGTCTATTATTTAGCTATATTTTTCTAATAAATTGTGTATATGTTATGTAAAAACCATACTTCGGGGCATTAACGTGAAGGTGCGAATATTAATGGACGCGTTAACGGTTTATTCTCGTAGCATGTTAAATTAGATCGTGTACTATCAACATAGTTTAGTTAGTTGATATTTTAAATTGTTGTTTACTATAGCACGTGCTCAGTTCAAAGATCGACATGTAATAAATAACGTGCTATGAGATTTGATATACTGCTTAATTTAATGCGTTTGTCGCGCACCCTTGTTAATATGTACTTAGCGCGTTAATAAATTAACGCATTAATTAACACTCATTTTTTTTTATTTTACTCATTTTGGACAACTCTACTCGGGGCAAAAATAAAAACGTATCATCATTATCAGCACCCCTTTTACGTCCCCACTGCAGGAGCTCAGGCCTTCCTTATGGATGGTTAAGGAGGATGGGCCATGACCTTCCACGCTGGCTCAATGCGGATTGGAGGGTATCAACGACCGCAAATGCAGCCGGTACCAACGGCTTAACGTGCCTTCCGAAACAAGGAGTAGCTCGAGATAATAATTTTTTTTGGTCACCCATCCCGTGACCGACCCTTGCGAAAGTTGCTTAACGACAACGATCGCATGCTGCGGCGCTTATCCACTACGCCACCGAGCTACTTAACGGATAAAGCGAATGGTGAATGTGTGTATCGGCGACCTGGTCCAGCAGCGAGGCCAGCTTGGCGGCCGCCTCGGCCACCTGCGCCAGGTCGGGCGCGGGCTGCACCTGGCGCGCGCGCCCGCCCGGGCCCATCGTCTTCTGGCACAGCTGCAGGCCCACTATCTGCGACACGTTACATACATGTCCAGTGGCAACCTCCGTGACCGTGTATTACACCCGATAGTTTCGAGGCGTCGCCGCATCCGAGGCCCGCGTTCGATTCCCGGTCGAGTCGAAGTAGAAAACGAAGTTTTCCCTATAGACTCAGGTTATATCATAAGGCAACAAAAGGTGTAGTGGTATCTTCATTGTTTCAAATATCCAATGAGAATGCTAAAAGCTGTTTAATTTGCGATCTGAGCTATTTATGTGATGATATATAGTATTTATTATTTGTTTACATCACCGAAGTGTCAGTCGGTAGAATCGCTTTTATACCAAAAAGAAAAATAGGAATTTAAATAATATTACATAATTAAAATACTAAGAGCAGGTTCCGATTGGTATAGCACAAGCTAATTTTTTAGAAATCTGAAAGGACCTCTAATAATTAAAATTTGTAATGTTTATGTAACTGTACATTGGTATATTACATTTTGGTCCGGTGACTAGTGTAGTGTTTAAAAATATACCTCTGGTTCGTAAGTAGTGAGTGACACATCGATGGGTGTGAACATGCAGCCCTGCTTGCCGCGCGGCACACCGAGCGCCACGCACACGTATGCGCGGAGCCCCATGCGGGCCCCCGCCAGGGACGTATCCAGGGTCACGTGCACTGGCTCGCGACACTCGCGTGAATAATACTCATGGATCACTGATGAGTGGTTTGTCACCTCATTCCCTGTCGCCCACCAGCCTAAACAAATATTTGATTACTGAATGAATAACTTCATTATTTTACACTACCATATAGAACAATGTTGATAACAGGAAGAAACACATTTGTGAACTACAAAATTATTAAACATATTAGTGCCATGGACAGATGCTGATTAGAGTTGAATAAATGTAATATGTCCTTAAGGCCTGCACAATCCATATCGCAAGGAGTGTCACCCCTCAAAACCAAAATAAGACATAAACAGGACTTTTGTTCGCTGACCACCAGCACCTAGTATATACAACAGTACCAAAATATGAATTTTGAAACTCATTTTTGGCTTGCCTTGACAGGCTGTAACAAAATAGGAACAAATTGCCACAACACATAACTTTGGAAATAATCAAATATTTGGAGCACTGTTGTGCTGGTGACAGTACACAGCTAAATAAACCCTGTATTCAGATTAAAAAAAAACTATCCCTACTGCCATATACATTATTATTTTTATGGTAAGGTGAGAGAAAAAAAACCCTTCTGTTTTACTGTAATTCAACAAAAGACATGATTTTTCAGTTACAACTTGGGCCACTTACACACTTGCAAAATAAATCTGCTGTAGATCTTGTATTGAGAAGAACCGGCAAGAAACTTAGGCAATAAATCTGTTATATTTTATTCAGATCCAATTAAATTAATTTCATTAGACTATGAAGTCACTATCCATTTCAATATTTGTATACTATAGTAGGGGAGCCCACGATGCTAAATCGGGATTTACTCGAGCGTCATAGAGACCTATTGGGTTGCGAAGCTTAGATGATAACAAAAAAAAATTTCATATAATATATACCTTTTCATCGGTGGGGGAAGAGGCTATAGATTTTTAAAAATGTAAAAAAAAACCGTTGTATGGACATACTCGAGCGCGTCAGATATTAATATCATCCATGTCCTACGCATTTTTAAAAACTGTCGTATGTTAATCTGATCGTTTCCATGATGGGGGTGGTTATACGCAAGGGTTGAAAATGAAAAAAAAAAATTATTTAATCGAGCGCGTCAGATTTTTTGAGGGGATGTCAAGTGAACCTAAAAAAAGCTCTCATATAATAATCTGACGATTTGGATGTGACGCAAACGCGTGACCATTATTAGAATGTGCAAAAAAAATCGCCATTTTGAAATACTCAAGCGCGTCAGATTAAGCTATATATGGTTCATATTTATGCCCCAGACGTGATATCTCATAATCTGACGATTATCTGAAGGGATTTACTTAAACTGACACTAAAAAAATTTTTTTTTAATTTTTTCATATCATTGAGCTTAATTAAATAGAAAAGCACCGGAGTTAGCATGCAAATAAAAAAGTGTATGTTTTTTTATGTAAAATACTTATAATGAAGAAAATGATTATAAAAAATTAAATTTTTACAGTATTTTTTTTTTAATTATCATCTTCATCGCTAGAATCATCTTCCTCTTCTTCTCTTAAAATAACAAAATAAGCAAAAACGTTGGAAATACGATGTAAACAATATCACGCCACGAACGAGTCTGTGTCATCAGTTGTCATGGCGTCATGGCAACCGAAACCAGAGTGGGGATGGAATGAGAGAGTAATAGACAGAAAAAGAGAGAGAAATAGTGATGCGGAGAAGGAAATATAGGTATCACGTAGCTTAAACGCATTATTTATTTATTTATTTATTTATAGGTACAAAGACTTGTCAGCCAACAGACTAAAATCCAAAATGCCAACAAGTTAAAATTATGAAACAAAATTTTACATTGTTCATTCATTAAATATATATAATAATACAAAACAAAATAAAAAAACCTATACCAAATACAAAGTGAGTCAGACAATCTATTATTGTGTCAAAATAATAAAAATACATTTAATAAATTATTATTTCCAATGTCAATTAAAATTTACAAAAATCATTCATTACATATAAAATAAAGAATATACGTATTTAATGAATTAAGAATTCCAATGTCAACATAAAATTCTACAACATTCATACATATAATTACAAAAAACATTTAATAATTTATGATTTTCAATGTCAATTTTATCATTAAGTCACTTTATTATAAATTATTTGTCCATGTCATCTAAAATAGCTCGAAAACTAGTCATGAGAACTGCCAAACTATGTGCGAATATGTCAATTTCATCGTACCGAGCGACTACATCACCTATGAGTGTTATCGCGCGGTTAGTTGGAGCATATAATGCACGTTTGATGCGCGTTACTGGTCGAACCAGAAGACGCTGATTTCGACGTGGAGCCACCGTTCCGTCTTCATTATGCAACAAATATCTGGGTACTTTAAGTCCCATTCTGCCTAATATTGACGGTGCGTCCAACTTATTGTGCAATACAAATAAGTAATGTCTCACCATTGCAATAATCCGCCTAAACTTAAGGGTCTCCAAACCTACCATACCCGAGACAAATATGGAAAGATATAGATATGGATAGTAACCATATAGTTTTTTATAAAGCCAACGAGCGAATTTCCGTTGTACCCTTTCCAGCAGCAAAACATATTTCTCTTCGTACGGATTCCATACAGCGGCAGCATATTCGAGCTTGCTACGAACATAAGCGTTGTATAATGTTATTGCAACCCTTACATCATCAAAATCAGCAGCAGTTCTAATGACGAAGCCTAAAGTTTTACTAGCTGATTTAGCAACTGAAGTTATGTGAATGTGAAAATCTAATTTTGCATCTAACATTACTCCTAGGTCACGTATGCAATTTACTCTATCCAAATGGGCGTCAAATAAATTATAATTTGTATTTATTGTATTACGTTTTAGTGAAAATGTCATTATTTTACATTTGCTCTCGTTAAAAGGAAGACGATTAATCATACTCCAGTTTGACACAGCATCTATATCCTTTTGCAAGGCCCTAACATCAATGTCATTATCAACTCCTAAGCTTATTTTAATATCATCAGCAAATAGAAGGCATTCCGCCGAATGCCTTCTGAATATCAATGAATTTTTATTACTTCGGCTTGTGACAATCGTCAGATTATATATTTTTCGTAATCCTTGAATGATTCCCTTCAAAATAAAAAAAAAATTAGCCATGCTCGAGAAAATCAAAGTGACGTTTTTTTTTTACAACTTTGTAGCCTTCCCCCTTCTTTACGTCACTCTCAAATTGACAGATTAGAGGTATGTACACCTTTTAGCACATAACTAGCTCACCTTACCTTAATCTGACGCGCTCGAGATTTTCAGATGATCAATTTTTTTTTACTAATCTGATCCTTCGTCCTTGCGGTGCGGCCATTTTTATAGGGCTCATACTTGGTCCAGGTACTTAACTGGGTACAAGGTATCCCCCTGTATATTAATCTGCCGCGCTTTAGTAAATCCCGAAATCCCCGCTTCGGCTCCCCTACTACTAATTATTAATACTCATTAATAATCAGTATAGAGGAAAAAATACTTATTTATTTTCTTGAAATATTTTTGCAGCTTATTTAAATTATAATAAATATTTTCTAATACTCTTTCAAACAGAATAGAATATCCTATTCCCTAAAAACTTCCACATTCCAAATCACATACAATTTATGTCTTACATTGTACACCATTTGCTATTATTCGGTCCACTGTCAATAGATCCATTGGTATTACTATAGATAATGCTATTGATAGCTGCAATAACATTCCCTCCTTTACACTATCAAAATTAACAAACACTATTAGAAGAATCATAGTTCATAGATATAAAAGCTACTGATAAATAGTTATTTTCAAAATTATGCTAATACAACTCGCACCAGCAACAAATTTGTTTGTTCTACTACTTACCAACTATATTTTCAGATGCATTGACCCTACGATTTAATTCATATACATCCATGGCATAGTTGAGTTCTGCCTCCACTTGGTCGGCATGCTCTTTATGCGGTACGCAAAAACAATTGGTGACTTCCACAACTCCTTTGTCGGATGTACCTGTTCAAAAAATTATAACCTATCACTATCGATTAACTTTTAGAAAAAAAAATTTAGTTATTATCATCAGATAAAACTGACAAAGAACCACTTTATATCAAACAACGAGTGCATATAAACCACAAACACCAAAGTCCCCAACACGATGACGAGTGAAACAAATATTTGTAATGATAGTATTTTGAGTTTCCACTAGGTCTCAAATAAGCTTACCTAAAAGAGTACCAATAACTCTGTGTGAATCGGCATTTCGGCGCTCGTAAGCATCAACAATTTGAAATAATACTACAGGATGTACCTTAACAACTAAATTAAGCGACATTTTTGACACAGAAAAGCATACGAAAAGGCCGTTTTGATTGATGGAAAAAAGGTGTCAATCACAGTGGTGTGGGAAATCGATTACCATTAATCGATTTTCAAATAATCAGTGATATCGATTTTGATTTCCTAATCAACGATTAACCATCGATTATTTCTTAAAACGTTAGCAATAGGAATAGTTTAAAACGTTAGTACAGTACCTGCTTACTTTACTTCTATGGCTCATCAACCCATAACGGATCGCGAGTGTGAATATTATTAGTAGATATTCTTTTACTTATTATAGCAGCCCTGAATTACTCCCACGAACAAATAAGTAACTTTATTCATCTTTACGAATGAATGAACGGATCTTACAGTTTTATTTTAACAAATACAAGTTAACCTATACCAAAATAATATTTTTTACATTTTTTATTTGTCTGTTTGTTCCAGCTATACTCTGAAATGGTTAGACCAATTTTGACGGGACTTTCACTGGCAGATAGCTTATGTAATAAGGAATTACTTATGTAATAAACTTTCCACGCGGGTACTGCTAGTTTAATTCTATAAATTTTGCATGCACAATGCTGGTATAGTAAAAATTGTCATAAAATTGATTTTTAACTATTTTTCGTTAACTTTAAAATACGGTGGAATTAATATGAAATCATTAATAAACTTTTGGGGTAAAAATATTTTAAAATGATTGCCATGAATCGATTATAATCAATAATACATCGATTACGAGTCATATTATTATCGATATACAATAATCGAATCGGTATATTATTAAATCACAATAGTAGTAGTAGTTTCGTTCATGGGACAGGCGAAGAAACAAAACCATACAGCCAAATCTTGGGTTGACAATCACAGATCAAGAAGGAGATATTACGTATGTGTCATTACAAAATACATAGGTATGTGCAAAGATTACAATAATGTGTTAATGGAAAAACCCTAACCAAAATAGGCATGTTTCATATCAGGATTATAGATAAATCGAAACAAAACGAAGATCGCTTGGAACCGATGTTTTTTTATATATATTTTAACGGCGCTGGGTTCTTGTCTTCTTCAATAACATTCACAGTTTTAAAATCTCTAAATTGATAAGTTTGTATTATTTATGTAACGGTTTGAAATATCTTGAATCACTGAGAAGCGAAAGTAAAATGTCACTGTCATTGCCAAGTTCACTGTCCTTGTCACTATATAATATTTCGGTAATTTCGCTTGCTAAGACCAGTCTATCAATTTTAAAATCTTGATGTGAACATTTCTTTGATAAATGGTATAAGTCAGCATTTTCTTCGTTACAGTAGACGCACTTATATAGTGTCACTGATGATCTTAACTCTATGCAGATGGACGAGAATCTTGCAGTGGCTAAATCTCATTCTGCATATGCTGGTAATCAAATTACGGTTAACTGATCCTTTATGTTTAGATGGATGGTACCACGGACGAGCGGGCAATGTCTTTTGTATGTCGTGATACCACTTTCCCTTTCTAATGCAATAGAATGCCAATGAGGAAGTATTAAAAAAAACGAAAGCATTAAAAAACACCTCCTCTAGATGGCGACTCTAGAAAATGTTTATTTTTGCAGAAAACGAATGGACCAAAGACAGTCATTTCCATTCCTTTTAACTAACATTGTGAAACTGAAATTTGAAAAGTTCGAAACTTAGATACCAATACAAATAGAATATGAGTTTTGAAAACTCATTCATTGATGGTCAGCCTAGCGTTTATAGCCTACCATAATATGCAATAATATATATTAACATGCGTTAATATATTTGTGGTGAAGTCATACAAATATACTTATTATTATAGCTGTGTGTGCGATCATTTGAATATTTGTATAGAAAATATATCGTAATATGACTTGCTATAATTTATATTAAAATACAGCGTGTTTGGTAATACATGTATAATCCCGAAACATGGCCATACAACTTAGCACAAAAAACATAATTAATATGTCAAAAAACAATTTCACGTAAATTGAGATTTTCATACAAATATTTGAACAATTTGTTTTCAATTAATATTCTACAACCCTGAAAGCTTATACAGTAACAGTTACAGTAACAGTCCTGTCTAACCTACGGTTGCCAGGCAGAAATTGCTCCTTAGCGATAAGGCCGCCGATTGTACAACTAAACTGTATAAATTGTATTTTCTCTATAATTTATGGTGTACAATAAAGAATTTATTCATTCATTCATTCATTCTTATACGTGCCGTCCCGGCGTAGGGTGAGGTGTTGAACAGTGGCTATGCCAGATACAGTGGCTCAGTAACAGTATGAGGGTATAGGATAAAGATATAGAACTGCCTCTTTCACTCATAGGTAGTATTTGGGATACCAACTTGTCACAACTAGTCGAGCAGCGCCTACGCCGCGGAGTGTGTGTGCTACAAGCATTTATTATAATTTTGAAAAATATATTTACTTTTAAGGTAAGATATTTTCTGTTTCAACTCAAATATAGGTTTTTTTTTTACTATTGCTTCATTTCAACTGTTGATAGTATTAAACAAAGATTATTTTCACGTATAAAAACATTTGATATTATGAATATTATTTTACCTACATGCTTTGGAATTCAAAATGGCGATTTCGTACACAGTGGCTCAATCAACGAAGGTACACAGTGGGTCTTGATTCACTGTGTACTACTGGATTATTGTACTACTGGTGTGATTTTATCAACTTAAATAAGAAAGTGTTACCTACTAATTTAATATTATGCTTACTTACAATAATCATACTTATTTGTCGCTTACGGACGTGTTTTTGGTTTTGCTAAAATTAGGTTCTTTTATTTTTAGGATGCCACGTTCAGAAAAACCCCGTTCTATCGGGGCCCACACTGAAGAAAATATGAGAGATGCTTTGCAGGCAATACAAAGAGGTATGAGTGTGAGAAAAGCATCAAAAGATTACAACATTCCTTTTACTACTTTAAGGCGATATTACCTGAAATCAAAACATTTTTCTTCTGTTGAATCCATGCGGTTAGTACCTCACTATGACGTAAATAAAGTATTTTCTAATAATCAGGAAAAGAGTCTTAAAGAATATATTACATATTGTTCGGCTTTATTCTATGGTATGACATCAAAAGATACAAGACGGGTCGCATACGAAATGGCAAAAAATAATAATTTGAAAATGCCTGAAAGCTGGAATGTCCAAAAAATGGCGGGAAAAGAATGGCTGCGGAGCTTCATGCGAAGGCATCGAGACATTAGTTTGAGAAAACCTGAAGCGTGCAGTCTTGCACGCGCCACAGCCTTCAACAGGTCAAATGTTGAAGTATTTTTCAATAACTTAGAGACATTGATGAAACGATACCCAGAATTAGGAGCAAATCGTATATTTAACTTAGATGAAACATCCACTACCACTGTACAAAAGCCTCAGCGTGTAGTGGCACCCAAAGGTCGCCGCAATGTAAGTAAAGTTACGAGTGGAGAGCGAGGAACTCTCGTAACAACTTGTTGCATCATAAGTGCGGGTGGTATAGCACTACCTCCTGTTATGGTGTTTCCAAGGAAAAATTTTAAAAATTTTATGATCAAAAATACACCTCCTGGTACTTTGGGGTTAGCAGCATCAAGTGGTTGGATGAATTCAGAAATTTTTCCAGAAGTTATCCGGCACGTAATAAAACATTCCAATTCTACACCTGAAAATCCTTGCATATTAATAATGGACAACCACGAGTCGCACTTGTCGTTAGAAGCACTAAATTTGGCCAAAGCTTCAGGAGTTCACATTTTAACTTTGCATCCTCATACATCAGCAAAATTACAACCCCTCTATGTTGGGATCTATGGCCCATTCAAGACCTATTATAACGGAGCCATAGATTCATGGTTGATGCAACATCCTGGAAAACCTGTAACCATTTATGATGTAGGCGAAATAGTTGGTACGGCCTTCCTCAAAGTAATGACACCAGTCAATATTATTAATTCGTTTAGAAAATGTGGGATTTACCCATTCGACCGCAACATTTTCACTGAAGATGACTTTATGCCAAGTACAGTGACAGATCGCCCGTGTCCTAATGACGAGGATCAAATTTTAAATTCACCAGATCATGATACCACCGCCGACGCTCCGATGCTCCAAGCTCCTAGTTGCTCCGATGACGCCGAGTTACCTATTCACAATCAGTCACCAATCCCTACTTGCTCAAACTTTATTGATAATTTGAATTTAGCAAATGAACCGGGTACCAGAGAAAATTCACCATCGATTAATATTAACTTTTTTGCTGAAAATAATTTGGACTTAGAATTAGGATCACAATTAGATTCATCAAGACATATTTCTCAAATACTGACGGAATCCACTTTACAATCTAATACTTTAAGCAAACCTATTGAATCGCCGATGCGTACCACTGAAGTAAGGAAGAGTCCTCATTTTATATCCCCATTTGAATTTAGGAATCCTATTAAAGCTGGGCCTAGAAAATCTGAACGGAAATCCAGAAAATTAGGACGTAGTATGATAGTAACTGATACCCCCGAAAAACAAGAAATAGAAAAGGCTAAATCTAAAAAAAAAGTACATCCAAAACAAAGAAAAGTGATAAAGAAGGTGTTACAAAGTGACTCTGAAGATCAGAGTGAAGAAGATCAAAACATTAATGTAGAATACCAGGAATCAGATGAAGATAACGAGTGGCCAGATGATGACATCGAAAATGAAACAATTTGTTTGACAGAAAATGATTTCACTGATCCTTTACCAAGACCGCCTCGAGAGGGTGAATTTGTTTTAGTAGAGTTTTCTACTAAGAAGCAAAAAGTTTTTTACATTGGCAAAGTGCTAGAAAGCAGAAATCATAATCTTGACTATTACATTAGCTATCTGCGTAAGAAGGCCCATGGTAAATATGCCATGCCTAATAATCCTGATTTGTCGATTGCAAAAGAGCGCGATATTAAGTTGTTTTGTTTGATTATATTTGATTTGTTTTGAATTGACATTTAGTCGGTATAACCAAAAA